CTCAGAGGTAGAGCACTCACCTAGCATGTGCAAAGCACTGGGTTCAATCCTCAGCACCACATAAAAATAAAATAAAGATATTGTGTCCACCTATAACTAAAAAACACATATTTTAAAAAATCCAGCTGTGCCAGCATACCCCTGTAATTCCAGCTACTTGAGAGGTTGAGACAGGAAGATGGCAAGTTCAAGATCAGACGGGCAATTTAGAGAGATTATCTCAAAATTAAAATTTTTTTTAAAAGGGTGGGGGCTGGAGCCTGATGATGAAGCACTTGCCTCCATGAACAAGACCCTGAGTTCAATCCCCAGCATATCTATCTCTATCTCTCTCTCTCTCTCTCTCTCTCTCTCTCTCTCTCTCACACACACACACACACACACACACACACACACACTGGCAGTCTTCATGGTAGCTATACTAATTGACCAGATATCTTTCTCAAGTCAAACAATTTTTGCCTATATTTTCCAAACAACAAGGCTTGAAGAAGAGTTTTATAAAATTAAAGCACTGGTCAAAATCAAAATAATTATTCTAAGAGCAAAAAAATTTCAGGTCCATAAACTAAACCATATTAATTAAGTCTCATGTTTTGCTTACATACTGGAATTGTGCAAACAACTCCCATATTAAAAAAAAATAATAAAGATGTTGTTATTTCAGAGTTGACTGACAGAATCAATTAAAATTTCTCATAAAAATTCCTACCATCTTTTTCAAGATTAGTCTTGACTTATGCACATTTTAGTTTGGGCATCTACAAGAAGATATTTCTTGCACAAAATGCAATTGCTCTGTATGTATGTACTATATAGATGCTGACATGTTTATAAAGTGTTTCTCTGTAGAAGCTGGGGTTCTGGCTCAGTGGTAGAGTGCTTGCCTAGCATGTGTGAGGCCCTGGGTTTGATCCTCAGCACCACATAAAAATAAATTGATTAGAAAAATAGGTATTATGTTCAACTACAACAACAACAACAAAGAAAACATTTTTTAAAAAAGTGTTTCTCTGTAAAGTATCTCCCAGTTTTCATTTCTCGGGTTTTGATGTTCTCAGAAATGCTGAAGGAAAAATATTAATATTTACAAATACTCTATGAAACAGTATTTCTTTTTAATTGTAAATTTTTCATATAGTCAAATAATTATTTACTGAATTGTAAAGTGATTGCTTGAACAAGAAATTGTGCTCACAATTTAGCCACTTTCCTTTCCCTTCCTCCAACCACCAGTTAACCAGCAATTTATTTAACCTCCTAAGCATCAGTCTTGCAATCTATGAAACAGGGATTTGTTGCCAGCATTTTCTTTGTCTACTTCCTGGGTTGGGTGGTGTGAAGTTGAAATGGAACAATGTGTGGGAAAAAATGCTTTGTATATTGCAGAGTGCTGGGGAAAATGCGCTTGCTGGGAAAATGCACTTATCTCCCTTCAATTGCCCTAGTTAGTACCAGGACCAGTGAATTGCTTTCTGTATTCTCAGAGAGGGCTCCTTGAGCTTCATAGGAGAGTGCTTGTTTCAAGTGGGCTATAAATAGAGTTTAGGATTTTATTGAACTGCTGTTCTGTTTGTAACAGGTCTTGATGGCAGTCACCACATGGCCAGAGTCAGTTAATTGTGAGCAACAGGAGTTCTGTCTAGTCTTGGAGGCAGAATCAGACCAGTTGAAACTGATAGAAAATACTCACATGTATGACTGTTTTCACGGTTAGCTGGGTGTCCTGGTGTACTCCTGTGTTCCAGGGGGTTGGGAAAGAGAATTAATGGTGGGGAAAGGTTGGGGATGGAATGCAAAGTTCACTACTGAGTTAATTCAGCAACAAATGGATCTAGGCATTCATGCTAATGTTCCAACAATTACTTATGCATTATTTAGAGGTTAGGTTGTGGGAAAGGGAGGACCAGGGCAGGAAGACAGGTGGAGAAGAGGCAAGAAACTAACAATGTGACCACATTTTGTGTCTTATGAGACACACAGAACTGTGAATTTTAGAAATATTATCTCAGTTAATTCTCTTAAGATTTTTATGAGGTAGTTGTTATTATTCTTATTTTAGAGATGAGAATAATTAGCCTGTACACTATAAACTAGTGAGTGGTGGAGTTTGAATTATAACCAAGTTCTGCATATCTCAGAGTTCCATATTCTGAGTTAAATTATAACTTTCTCAGAGAAAGGAAATAAAGTTTGCCTTTTACATAGCAAGATAGGAAAGGCAAGAATGAAAAATAACAAGAAAACTTCTTGAGTGTATTTACCAGGCAAGTAAATTTTATAAGGAGTTCAGAGTTTTAAAAAAAAAATACCTTTTTTTTTTTAAACAATTAATTTGTGGCAAGATGCAGGCAATTTTTGTCAATAGGAGCCAAGACTATTTTAAAAATGGGGTCCTATCTCTCAAGTTGAAAAAGCAAGTTCAGAAGTTTTTCTCTGTAGTAGAAAGCTACTCTGTTTTTAAAAATACAAATCATGCACTAATTTATGTTAATTTGCTTAAATTACCAGGCCCTGAGGAATGCCCTAAAATGAAGCAAGGCAATTTCTTGATCTTAAAGGTAAGAAGAATTTTTTTTTCCCAACTACAGTTTGGAGTATATTATGGTAATTCTATTTTCAGTCTCTTGAGTTTAAGGACATTAATAAATAACAGGTTCTTTCTACCCATTTGATTGTAAAGCTGGAGGCAGAATCTGAATTGCAACCCTACATTGGATATGAGTGTCATTCCCAGCTATAAGAAAAATATTTAAATTGTATCCTCAGGCCACTAGTCCAATTCATACCAAATTCTTAAACAATTTGTTTCAGCCTTCAATATCCCCCTTTTCCAGTTTTTTTTTTCAGTTTTCTTTGAGAATGCCACTGATTATACCTTGCCTCTGCTTTTGAAAATTTCATCTATAGAATGTACAATCTAAAACCTCTCATGATACCAGGCTCTTCATTTTCTCCAAATTTAGCCATAGGAAACTATAAATCTGAAAGTCTTGCAAATAGAAACAATTTGCTATTTTTAGATACATTCAGTAAAAAGAGAAATAATACTTATAGTACTAAGGTTACTAACTAAGGTAGTAGAAAGTTAAAGTAGGTAATAAAAAAAAGAATACATGTATTTTTGTCTCAATTTTCTAGCTAAATTCTGAGTGAAAACAAAAGAAAATCCTAGCAGTATCCTGAGATCCTAAGTATGCACATAAAAGTGAGGAGTCTTCAGCTGTTTGGTATTTACTGCAATACTACCTCAGCTTAGAATGTGCTTTTGAAGTTCTCTGCAACCTGCTTATTCTGGTGGCATCATATTTAACTAAAGAGCAAGTTTTTAAAAGAGTTAATATGTTGTGAAACCTCTGGGAACATGTATAGCACATGACAAAGTTAAAAGGCTTTTTTCTCATTACCAAACCCATTCTGTTTCTCAGTGAAGGATAAGAAAAGAGTCAAAGTCAGAATTAAAAAAAAAAAAAAGAAAGAAAAAAAAGAAAGGCCATTGCAGTTATTTTTCAACAAAATAAGATATAAAAGGAAAATTTTCAATTATGTCTCAATTCAGAAATAATAAAAATGGAAACCGTTCTTGGTATTTAATTATTATACTGCCATAGTAAGATATTTTTTATATCAGAAAAAAACATTTGCCATTTGGGTTTTTTTTTGGGGGGGAGGGGGGATTGGCTAACTTCACTTAGCATTATCTGCTCTAACTACATCCATTTACCTGCAAATGCCATGATTTTATTCTCTTTTATTGCTGAGCAATATTCCATTCTGTACATATGCCATATTTTTATAATCCCTTCATCTACTGAAGGGCATCTGGTTTCACAGTTTAGCTATTGTGAATTGTGCTGCTATAAACATTGATGTGGCTGTGTCCCTGTAGTATGCTGTTTTTAAGTCCTTTGGGTATAGACCAAGGAGAGGGATAGCTGGCTCAAATGGTTCCATTCCAAGTTTTCTAAGGAATCTCCATACTGCTTTTCATATTCACTGCACCAATCTGTAGTCCCACCAGCAGTGTATCAGTGTGCCTTTTTCACCACTTCCTCACCAACATTTATTGTTGTTTGTCTTCATAATAGCTGCCATTCTGTCTGGGGTGAGATGATATCTTAGTGTAGTTTTGATTCGCATTTCTCTAATTGCTAGAGATGATGAACATTTTTTCATATATTTGTTGATTGATTGAATGTCCTCTTCTGAGAAATGTCTGTTCATATCCTTGGCCCATTTATTTATTGGGTTATTTGGTTTTGTGGTGTTTAGCTTTTTGAGTTCTTCATGTACCCTAGAGATTAGTGCTCTAACTGATGTGTGAGGGTGAAAACTTGCTCCCAAGATGTAGGCTCCCAGTCACCTCACATATTGTTTCTTTTGCTGAAAAGAAACTTTTTAGTTTGAGTCCATCCCATTCATTGATTCTTGGAGTCCTATTAAGGAAGTTGGGGCCTAATCCCACATGATGACTCATAGTTGGGTAGGGAAAGGGAACATGGGAGGAATAGACAAACTCTAGATAGGGCAGAGGGGTGGAAAGGGAAGGGAGGGGGCAGGGGGTAAGCAATGATGGTGGAATGTGATGGACATAATTATCCAAAGTACATGTATGAAGACATGAATTGGTGTGAACATACTTTATATACAGAGATATGAAAAATTGTGTTCTATATGTGTAATAAGAATTGTGATGCATTCTGCTGTCATGTATTTAAAAAGTAAAGGCAATTTAAAAATATATATATTTTCATTTTTATATTCAGTACAGCCAGTAATTGCCTAAGTGTCTTTCACCAGAGCATAAAATAATTCCATGGTGTTTCCTCCATTTCTTTGTCTCAGAAATTTTATTTTTGTCTTTTGGATTTTGAGATCCTGGTTTCAGAATTATAATTTGAAAAGAAAACTGCATTGAAATTTAAAAGTGTGATGAAAAAAATCATTCAGAAGCATGGATGACATTCCCATAGTGACCAGAGTAAAGATGTGTTGGTTTTTTGGTTGATTCTTTTGTTTTCTCCTTATAGAGCTGGGATTTGAACGAAGGGGCCCCTGCATACCAGGTAAGCACTTTACCACTGAGCTACATCCTCAGGCCCTTCTTTGGTTCTTGAAGAAGCCTTCCTGGCCTGTCCTAGTGGTGATGTTTAAGTCAATTCTTAATGGAGTCCAGCCTAAAGTCTTTGGAGTCTGTCCATTTAGGATACAATGGGGTTCATGGATGAGCAGAATGGAATTTTTTCTAACTTGAAAACTAATAAGAAAAAGCATTTTTTGGACACTTTTTTTTCCTTCTGTTCTCTTCAATTCTGCTCTTTTTTTCAGAACTTTGGAACAACTTTACTTGATTTTACCTTGAATCTGTGAAAGTCATTTAGATGAAAACCAAGTGTAACCAGAAATACGTAAGCTTTTAGGATTGTAACCATTTTATGTGGATGTTTAAAGACAAACTGTGAGGTCTTTTTACCTACTACTAAAGATATATGGAAATACACATGCTCTTTACCTTAAGATAGGGTTACATTCTAATACACCTATCATAATTCCAAAATACCATAAATCAAGAATGCATTTAATACATCTAACAATCTGAACATCTTCACTTAACCACACAGTACACTATAGAGTATCTCTGTTCACTCTCATGATCATGTGGTTGACTGTAAGCTGTGCCTCACTGTTGTTTAGCATGGCAAGAGACGATCATACCATATACCATTAGCCTATGAAGACCAAAATTCAAAACTCATATTACACTTTCTGCTGAATACATACAGCCTTTGCATCACTGTAAAGTTAAAAAGTCATAACTGAAGCCTTCTTTAACACAAGCACCATCAGTAGTTAAAACGATTGAAATTGAACACTTCCTGAACAGTTCTAATTTTCCACATTTTTAAACATATTTTTTATTGAATGGAAATTTTATTTCTAGGTACAAAAGATGCATCTATTAATTACTTTTCTACCCTAAAATGTGAAGAACTAGTCCTAGTTTTACCCAATACTTTCCTAAACACATTTAATTGGATTTGGAAACAGAAACAGGTATGAATAAAAAAAAAAGAGAATATCCTTTTGTGAATGTAAGGAAAGGAATATGGGAACATTTAAAGTTATTTTAAAAATAATGATGGAGATCATTGGACATACTTGAAATCTTTGTAAAAATATAGCTGTGTAGTATAATTTTACCTCGCACTCACATGGCATGAGACATATTCCTCAGGTGGCTCTCAGCAGGTACCAGGCAGCCTGAGGTGGGCAATTATAGAATCAGCTGCAGTTCCACCAGAGTGTTAAGTTCAGGGCTCCTTCAGGAAACCTGAGATATCCAGGAACATGAGTATTCTTGTATTCCACCAAGTGGAGTCTTGGGAGAAAACTTTCAAAAACATCAACAGCAATGTCCTAGGTTTTACCTAGGTTTTAGAGAACTTAATATACATCCAAATGCCACATTACAATCATGATTAAAATTAGAGGACTATGTAAGAGTTTTTTAAACATATTTTAATTATATATTGTTATTACGTATATTATTATATGTGTTACATATTACAGAAAGTAATAATACATTACCCAATCAAGCATATGAGAAAATCGGGGGTTCAATGATCACATTTTGTAATCAATATTTCATAGTACAGAAAAATATAAAATATATACTTTATACTGTGAGATTTATCTCTAAGTAATGAGATAATAACGATTGTATTTTTGTTTTCCTGATTTTTAAATGCTCTGCAATGACTATTACTTCAACGTAATGAAAGAAAGAAAAACAGAAGAAAGAAAGAAAGAGAAAAGAAGGAAGTGAAGAAAAAAGGGAGAAAGAAATACAGTAACTTCCGTTCATGATGTGGGGGTCATTTTTGAAAACATATTTCATGACATAGCTACTTTGTCATACTTATAATTTCTTCAGGTGGAAATTTCCACCCTCAGACATGTTATTACCATTACTCTTACTATCTGCACTGAAAATGTCCTCCAGTACACAGAACAAGATTCTAGATGCTACAGTATTACAGTATGAGGAAAATCTAGAGCAGTTTGGGTTCCATTGAATTTTAAGATATCAAAAAAAGGGATATAGGGAAAATGATGGATGTACACATGTGCATGTTTGTATATGTAGACTCCAATTTAGAGAGAATGGTTATGGTACAGATATAAATAGCATGATACACATTCATGAGTACATGACCACAGTCTTAGGGTAACTTGTCCATTTCTAAAAGATGAATGGTGAACTAACAGTACCTATATGAACAAGAAAATCTATTGTTTCCTAAGAAATTATATTGCTTTAGCACATATTTCAGATACATTTCTTTTGTAATGGAAACCTAAATTGGCTTGGGGTGAGCAAGACACATAGGAGACATTACTTCTCTGATGCTTCTTGAGGCTTGCTTACTTTGGTTTGGGCTCCAAGTATCTTTCTGGTTTAACCAGGAGCTAGGGTCAGAGGTTTTAGGATTAACAAAAAACACCAAACAAATATTAGCCTGATAATTAAATAACAGACTCAGGTCCTCAATGTATATTTTCTTGAGAATCAGAGTCTCAAACATTAAAGTCTGATTATTTGGACTTATCCTAAAATTTATTTGCCTCCTACTAGTTGGTTAAATATTTAAAAAATATCCAGACAAAATCCACAAGAATTGAGCATTTTCCTTTTTAGTAGTTTAGTCATAACCATGGGTTCCCTTTTTAAATGGGAATAAAGTTTTCTAAAATGCTTACATGGATAAAAAGCTGTATTAGCTGACCAAGGCTATATTTCCAAAGAATGAGATTTGTCTTTTTAACAGAATCAACGTGGATGGGATTGGGAGTTCACTGTGCTCTTCAGATATTATTAAGCTGGAGGCTCAAAAATAAAATGAAAATCTTTGAAGAACTCTCTCAAGAAAAACAGAAGACTCTGTTACTTATATAATGTCTTCAGTTTGGCCTGTACCTAAACAAATGTATGTGTTTGTGTTATTCCAAATCTTAATTTGGGCACTACTGCAATTACGATTTCCTCCCTTTCCCTCCCATCCCTCTTCCCTATCTAGAATTTCATCTATTCCTCCCATGCTCCCCCTCCCTACCCCACTATGAGTCAGCCTCCTTATATCAGAGAAAACATTCACCATTTGTTTTTTGGGGATTGGCTAACTTCACTTAGCATTATCTTCTCCAACACCATCCATTTACCTGCAAATGCCATGATCTTATTCTCTTTTAATGCTGAGTAATATTCCATTGTGTATATATGCCACATTTTTTTTTATCCATTCATCCACTGAAGAGCATCTAGGTCTGCTCCACAGTTTAGCTATTGTGAACTGTGTTGCTATAAACATCCACGTGGCTATGTCCCTGTAGTATTCTGTTTTTAATTCTTTTGGGTATAGTTTGAGGAGAGGGATAGCTGGATCAAATGGTGGTTCCATTCCAAGATTTCCAATGAATCTCCATACTGCTTTCCATATTGGCTATACCAATTTGCAGTTCCACCAGCAATGTATGAGTGTACCTTTTCCCCCACATCCTTGCCAACACATATTGTTGTTTGTCTTCATAATAGCTGCCATTCTGATTGGAGTGAAATGATATCTTAGAGTAGTTTTGATTTGAATTTCTCTGATTGCTAGAGATGATGAGCACTTTTTCATATATTCATTGGTTGATTGTATATCCTCTTCTGAGAAGTGTCTGTTCAGATCCTTGGCCCATTTGTTTATTGGGTTAGTTGTTTTTTTCAGTGCTTAGCTTTTTGAGTTCTTATATATTCTAGAGATTAGTGCTCTATCTAATGTGTGAAGGGTAAAAATTTGCTCCCAGAATGTAGGCTCTCTGTTCACCTCACAGATTGTTTATTTTGCTGAGAAGAGACTTTTTAATTTGAGTCCATCCCATTTATTGATTTTGGGTTTTAATTATATTGTTATAGGTTGTGGCCTAATCCCACATGATGAAGATTAGGGTCTACTTTTTCTTCTATTAGACTCAGAGTCTCTGGTTTAATTCCTAGGTCCTTGATCCATTTTGAGTTAAGTTTTGTACATGGTGAGAGATAGGGGTTTAATTTCATTTTGTTGCATATGGATTTACAGTTTTTCCAGCACCATTTGTTGAAGCAATAGTAACAAAAACAGCATGGTATTGGCACCAAAACAGACTGGTAGACCAATAGTACAGAATAAAGGACCCAGAGACTAACCCACAAAATTATAATTATCTTATATTAGACAAAGGTGCCAATAACATGCACTGAAGAAAAGACAACATCTTCAACAAATGGTACTGGGAAATTCCAGCTATTTTTAGAAGCTGCATAAAATTTGAATAAACTTAAATTGTATTTTTATGGAATGATTGAATATCATTCTATGAAATTTCATCTTAGTTTATAAAAAATAATTGAAAAGTGGTAGCTCATGCATGCATAGCATATTAATAGCCAAAATCTGTTTTAAGGATTATATTCTATCAAGAAGAAAGACAATCCTATTTGTTAGTGTAATTGCCTCCTGCTTGAAAACTAGTAGTTTATCATCGGGACAAGTTTCTATTTAAATGTAAAGACCTTAATAGTAAAGAAAATTAGATATACAAACTCATTACCATACAGTGTGTATATCTTTCTATCTAAATATACACACAGATATGTGTAAATGTGTATATATATATATTTTTTTTTTCTATATGTAGAGTTTTATGTGGTTGTGGTTATACTTCACACATAGAGGTTTTATTTATCCTTTCACTTACAATATTTTATAAGCATTTTTCTTTTACCCACAATCTTCAAATATGATATAATATTATGATAAACTTTGTAAAGTATAAAATACAGAAATAAAATAGTTATTATATTTGTGATTTTCAATGCCTGCATAGATTTTTTAAATTAATAGTTTATTTCTGTTTTCCCAGCTTGGGAACATAACTTTGACTTTTTTCCAGCTTTGGGGGGAGTAAAATTGTATATTGCTATACTACTAAGCACATTTACAAAGCCAGACATGGTGGCACACACCTGTAGTCCCAGCAGCTCAGGAGGCTGAGGCAGGAGAGGTCTCAAGTTCAAGGCCAGCTTCAGCAAATCAGTGAGGCCTTCAGCAATTTAGCGAGACCCTGTCTCATACCAACATAAAAATAAAAAGAACCGGGATATTGCTCAGTGGTAAAGCACCCCTGGGTTAAATTAGACAAAAACATTTATATTTTCCTGTAGATTTCTTTTCAAAGTTTCCTTTTAGAGTAAATTTATAGAAATAAAAGGACCCCTGGGTCAAAAAGTGAGCTTGTGTTTAGCCAACCTCAGTAAAAACAATTTAATATTTTCATTAAAACTACTTGCTGCATTTGGAAAGCAGAACACCATTATAATAAATGAAAGCATAGAAGTTTATGTATAAAAGATTTTATCGTTAAATCCTTTGGGAAATTAAATGGTGTGATGGAAGTCCAGAAAATTAAGAAACTGAGGAATGAAACTAAGGGACCTGCCACAGGTTGTGGAGACTCAGTCATGTTAAGTGGAGGACTTGTAATTAGTGATGCAGGTTGTCTGACTGCAAGGTCCATGCTTCTGATTGGTGCTGTGCTGTATAATGAAGCCTACTGATGTGTATGCTGTTCTTTGCTTTAACTAGGATCAAGAAAAAAAAAAAGGATAACACACTACAAGAATCGTGGACTTGCAGAGCTCTACCATTATTTGGGATATTATCCCTGTTATTTCACATGTGAAAAAATGGAGTTATATAAAGTTGAAGTCATGTCTCAAAGCCATACAGCTATGTTGGTCTGAAAATTAAAGATGAAGAAGATACTGTTTAACAAAGTTGGTGCTTCATTTATATGAAGGGCAAGGCTGAAAGTTTCACAAAACCAGCTTTAGTAATATCTACCACTTATTGAGCAGTGGTTATAGTCTGAAGACTTTGAATACATTTTTATTATCCTCCCAATGTGCCAGAAAGATAGACTCTTATTTTATCTCATTTTATGATTTTATACTGTTACAGATAAGGAAATTAAGTTTCAAAATTTTAAATGGTTTTTCCAAATTACAGATCAGGCAGTGGTGAATCAGGATTTGAGTCTAAAGACCATGTGCTTTCAAATATACCTGGGAAGGAAGCAGTTTATATTCTCATCTGGGTAGAATACAGGGGAATTACAGAAAGAAAAATACCTTAATTAGACATGAATGTTCCCTACCCCTTGCTATGTGTCTTTGACATTGACACCCACCCCATCAAACCCCTGCAACAAACTCAGAATGGCTGATGCCTTTCACCACTTGTCACTCCTCTGATGTGGAAACCCTGCTCAGTCAACTTGACTAAGCTTTATCTTGTATCATTGTCTCCCCAGAAACTTTACAAAACAATAAGAAAGCTCAGAGTTAGATGGTGAAGGTCCTTGAGGTAGTATAGAAGACTTAAGAATATGTAGAAAGGAGACCAACAGGAAAGGGGAAGAAACAATAATTTTCAATCTGAGAAGCTCCATGAACATCCTAAGCCTGTTGTTTTCCCAGGACAAATTCTTTAAAAGCCCTTGGATCTTAGAGTAGTGTGAATGTAGGTGATTAATTCCTACATACATTGTTAGCTTATAAAACATACTTTCTTTAGACTAAATACAGCCAGAGGAAAAATGCTGTCAGAGACTTTTGATCGGTGTATATTCCAAACATTTCTGTTGACTGCATGACATCAACCTAGAGACCCTGAAACAAACAGACCACCAGGATCTTCCCCATGCTCCAGGATTAAGGGAAGTGAGCTCATCAGGCTGATGTTCCCCTGATGCACTTCTCATGTTCACTATTGACAAAGATTCCTTTAAATAGAGTCCAAGACTCCAAAAGCACATCTCACTGGAGCACCCATGCTCCTTCTCCCTTCGAGTGTGCATTTCATTCCACTGTTTGCCTTCTCAAATAAATCCCCTTGTTTTCTTCAACAAATATTTGTTTGTGCTTCTTTTGATGCATCCTGAAATTCCTTTTGTGGTGGAAGTCAAGAACCTGCCAGGGCTATGCTGAGGTTCCCTTTTCCCTCCTGGGGACCTTCTCAGGTCCCTATCCAGTTACATATCTGAAGTGCATTCTATACCTGAAAAATACAGGTGGGTGCTGTATTTAGTTCTATTATTATGTTTTGGAAGTGACTGTGCCTCTAATGGAATAAGATAATTTCCTATCTTAGAACTGTGATTTATCTATCATGAACACTTTGAAATATAGATTTTTATAAAACAAGATGGATATGTTTTTTTTCCTATGTATCTATATCTATATATCAATAAACATTTGTAGTGATGACTAGAGAAACTGTCTTTGATTCAGTGTGCATTATTATTTCCTAAAGCTATTGACCCTAAAGCTAGCATCTCTCTGTATCAAACATTTCATGAGGCATGGGTAATGATTTTCTACCTAAGGTTTATAACAGCAACTTTTGCTGAATCTGATGGAGGGCCGGAGGAGACATGGGTGATTCTGTAGCTGCCTGTTGTATGACTGCTGGGAAGATATTCTTGAAGGGCTTGTTCCTGCTCACTGATTGTTCTAAATCACCTACCATCTCTCACCAAGGAAAACTTTTTTTTTTTTTTTTTTTTTTACTTTGTTGCTATTCCTTTGGGGGATTTTACTTTCCTAATTAAAGCAGGTAATTACCACCAT